AATATTCGTTTCTTTGATTTCTCTCCAGTTTGTGTCTCTTTTACTTTAGATTATGCACATAGCATATACTCCCAAAGACTCGTAGATGTTGGGTTGATGGTTTTTGTCCACTCCAAGCTTATATGGGAGTTTTATTCTGGATTGTTTTGGTAGAGCTGTTATATAGATAGACTGCAGTGTATACAACTTCTGCTTAAAATTCTTTTGGCATGTTCTTTTCTGCTAGTATTGTCTTGGCCATCTCTTGTATCATGCTGTTTTTCCTTTCCAACACGTTCTTTTGCTCTGGAGCATAACTAACAGTTAGTTGATGGTTGATTCCTTCATCCTCACAGAATTTGTTGAACTCCTTGGATGTGTATTATGTTTCTCGATCACTTCGCAAAACTTTAATTTTTCATCTACTTTGATTTTCGACGCGATTCTCGGATTTCTTGAAAATAGAGAAGATTTCGAACCTTACTTTCATGAATTACACCCAAGTCACTCTTGTGTATTCATCCATAAAAAGGATGAAGCACATATTTTTCTCAAAGGTCGGCGTTTTCATTGGTTCGCATATGTCGGTATGTACCAACTACAATATTTGTTTAGCTCTTCTTGTTTGGTTAGAAGATTGGTTTCATATGTTGTTTTCCCTACAAACATTTTTCACAAAAATTGTCATTCATCTGGATGGCCAATAGATTTTTCATCATACTTTTATGATGGAGTAGCTTTAGCCCGTATAAGTTAAAGTGCATGAACTGCCGGTGTCATAGCCATAATTAGTCTTCTTGGGCTTTTAGTGCCATTTCTATGAATTTCTAACTAAGCGAAAAATTTCTCCGTTGTCGCATGTTTACTACATTTATGGGAGTATTCTCATTTTTGTTGTCATAAATATTTCAACATTAGAGTTTATCCTCTTTCCACCATGTATCCCACGATGAGTAAATCAGTATCAAGTTTTGGAACTAGAAGCGCAACTTCGACGAGACGAGTACCTTTTTGGATCTCACCTCAATTGAGCCTTTGATTCAACCTCTACTAGATCTCCACTTCCCAAATGAGCTTGTATTTATTGATCTGTCAATATCTTTAAATTTTTTTTCATCTCCGGTCATATAATTGTGCAACTCCTATCTAAGAATCGGGTATCATTTTTCTCTAATGATGTGGCATGTCTTGCGTAGAAAACCAGATTATCCCTTTTCATTTCTTTAGAGAAATTTCTTTGATTTTTTTGGTTCGACAATTTTTCTCCACATGATCAAATCTACCACAATTTTTATATTGTGGTTTATCTTGGTACCAACAAACTTCTCAATATGGTTTCTCGTCTTGCAGATTCCACTAGATGGATATTTTTCTTTTTGTTGATTATTATTATTTCCACCTTGATTTTTGTTTTTCTTATTTTCTCCACATCTCCTGCTCCCAATATTAGGATACTGAGACCGTAAAATTTTTGACTGAAATG